TATAATTTTAATGTGATGTACAGCCACAAGCATGACCTTCTCTCCAGAGTGTGCATTACTCCATACTCCATGCTGGTTGATGATCCTGCCATGCTGTATACAACCTTTTAGAACACGGCGGGATCACTGCAAAACTGTAAAACTTCTTTCAGTATGTAGCAGTCATAGTGCTGCTATATTTTAATACTCACAACATAATTTTTTCTTCTATATTTTGTCTTTGAGATCCTCCCTCTCCCTCATCACACTTGAGTTCTGGCACAACATTCTTTGCTGCATCAGGATTAAAATATGTGTTTATCAGATGAGCATCCTACTATTATCTTGATAATCACATTGGCTTTAGGTGGTTTCTGTTGGATAATTTGATTATCCGATCATAGCTCATTAAATAAATAGCCACAAAGAGGACAACAATATGATCTTTTCAACCCAAGTTTAATCTTGCAAGGGGTGCAGCACTGAAAAACAAGCATACAAGATGTTAAATATCACTCCGTCTCCGAGGTTAGCCCACAGAGAAAGTTAGTAAAAGCTTAAATACCCATTATCAGTCAGAGGTCAGAGCAAGAAAACCTCTGCTTCACAGCTCAAAGTTTTTGAATGCGTCAGAGTTTATTAGCTATCAGTTATCAGACTCCTCTCTGAATAGACAAAGACTCCACTTCACACACATGGTTCTATAGTAATTTGACATTAGTAAGTGAAAACATCCATGACCTTTACGTCCCCCATCAGTTCCATGACCTGGTCATGATCAAATTTGTAGCCTGCTTTCGATGCCTGTCCTGTTTCTAATTCTCAATGACGAGGTCACACTGATGCATGACAGTCCCGTGTCACAGATAAGCTTCCACCAAAGCATTACATTTTCCCATGGGACTATGACATGCTGCCATAATGATAAACTACCAAAACCTTGTTAAATAAGTTTTGTGCATGCTCAAAACCATTATGGACCTTTCATATGCTGTGCTTCAAACTTATTAAGGAGCCCACTGTCTTCCCACCCAAAGATCTTGTCAAGACCCAAAGACCAGTTTGATTTAACATTGTAAAATGAGCTTTAGTAATGTCACCTGTTGTAGAGTTGATAAATTCAAGGTGGTCCAAAATAAAATAGAAAACACAGCTGATATAAAGCAGGATTACATTTTAAACTGCACAGTAATTTTTTTTTTTTTGAGGAAATGCTATAATTGATGCTGACTGCTACACATTGCCCAACTGAAAACGACCCCTCTTCCCACCAGAACACACAAATCCCCCTGCTACAACAACCCTTTGTACCCCTTTCATACACACATGCACAAATTAGTAGACAAGCCACTCGAAGGGTTTTCTCTGGTACTGTATGCTAATGAATTCATATATTCTCATTCTTACTTCAGTCATGCTTTATCTTGCCCACTGTGTAATACCTTACAGGTCATAAAGAATTGGCAGAAGCATCAGTGGATAAAAAAAAAAGAAAAGAAAAAAATATATATATATAAACTTTCTTTTTTTTATGTCAGGGTAACCTCACCGTTGACCTCTGAACAGCAGGAGCCTTGTAGAAAAATGTTTCCATCAGTAGCAGGAAGGAGATCAGAGTGTGTCTTTTTGCCGTTTTGACATTGGTGGAGCTCAGTAAAAGTGTCGGGGTCTGTTGCCGGGCTGTGCGCGGTTGTTATTGTGTTTCCTTATTGAGCTTCCTCTTGTTACCTGTCATGGAGCTGACATAACATGCAAGGGCAGATGGTGTTAGGTATGTAATGGAATCTGTTTAGTAAATCCCATCTGTAAGACACAGCTTTTTTCTTCGTAGCAGCCGTGATTTAGCTCAAGCTATTCATGATGCCTGTAGCTGATTCCTATTAGGTGTTGCTGCAGTGGAAGCAAAAAGGAACAAAATACATGGTAAAAGTACCCATGTAAACATTGAGTAACAGTGAACTCTTTTTGTCTGAACTATGTTACGTGATCCCTGCTGCTCGCTCCTTTGGATCTCGGCAGAGCAGTACTCCAAGGGGTTTGTCAGTGCAGTGCAGGGACAACCACCGAGACTGTGAAGAGAGCAAAGTTGTATTTGACAGCACTCTGTGATTTGCCAATGGGAATAACGCATAAGAAATGGAAATCGGCATCTCTTTGTTGATTGTTGTTCCCTTTTGTCACTACTGATTAATTAAACATTCACGGATGCTCAGTTGTTTGCTTGAAAGGGTTTTCTTTCAAAAGCGACTTTTCCTCTGCTTAAGTTTTCATGTGCCGCAGCGTTATGTGAATGCACGCCGGACAAACAAACAAAAAGTAATTTCTCTCTCTCGTCTTATATTCATAAGTCATCAGTTTCGTTCCAGTGGTGTTTCATGTTTATCACACTGGAATGAGAATATGTGCGATACTCAGTGAATTACTTGGAGTGTGTTGAGCAGGGGATAACTGATAAAGTCTACATGAAAGGGAGCTGGAATATATAGATGTTAGGGGAGTCGGCTGCATATGAGCAAATCTTTGTGAGAACTGGAAAATATTCAAATGTAATTAGGACATGTAGAAAAGATGCTGCACTATGTCTGCTGGAGTGCTGATGTATCTCTGCTTGGCATGAACCCACCTGCGTCAAACAATCAAAAATTTAATCCGGACCGTAACTGCCTGCTTCTTCCTGACAATGTTATCCACTTAGAGAGCTTGTCAGTTCCACTCCAGACTTCATCAATGTCTTAGCAGCTCTGCGCTTATCAAGAGTGTATCCACTCGGTATCAGTGAGACCGGGGACAAATATCAACACCCACCTTTTATCTGTCAAGGACTATGGCAAGCTAGAAACCCCCCATATTGAATGTCACCATCCACCAAAGGAAGCTTTCCCCACTGCCGTATGAGATATGTGACATGAGGCCACTGAGGTTGCCATGTTTCCTGTGTGCAGAGGAGCATAGAGGTTAATGGGAAATGAAGGAGAAAGACCTTTTGTTCTTGCTTTAAAAGAGCTAGTCGGATAAGACGTGTGGCTTTCAGTGACTTTTCTCTGACTTTCACTCCCCTGAATGACTCAGAGTGGAGGTGACTATCATTGTTTAGTGGATTGTGTCTCTCTAAGTACAGTGGAACAATGAGAGGAAGTGAAGAGCAAAGGTGATCACTGCTGCAGGGGAAAAGGCTTGTCAGAGTGGAGTTCAATGTCATTAGTGTAAGCAGCCGGATAAGTCTGTTATCAAGGGGATTTTGTGATGGGGTGTCTTATGAGCATGATTTTTATTTTTTTTTTCAACGAGGTGTTGTTAACAAAGGGTAAAATGCATCGCCAAAATGATAACATTTAGTACCAAAGAGAATATGTTAATATTTTAAACCGTTAGCTGGGAAAGGCAGAACATTAAAGGATAATCATGCTTTATTTCAACCTGACATATTTTTAGGTAATGGGTTTTTAATATTTGTGATAAGGGTTAGCACTAAATGTAACATTAAATCCATACGTCCATCCATCCGTCCATCCATCCATCCATCCATCCATCCATCCATCCAT